ACCCACCTGGTATCTCAAATGGAGCAAAAGCACATGAGGTATTACTGCTCTGAATAGCTCTGTCCTTCAGAGTGAGATTGTTAAGGGCACAAAGGGACTGAATTCAAGCCTTGGGATGACACAGGAGACGATAAAACTGCAGAATCGGGTCATGCTCTGCTTCCCAACCAGATCAGCAAGACCAGAATAAGATCTGAGCCTTTTTTTCTTGCACTGTTATCATGTTAATCCTTGCTAAGTGTGATTCCTCAGGAGTTTTTATGCCAGCTGCTGCCTGACTGATTTACCCCAATCAAGTACATGTTCCTTTGGCTTCCCTTTTCTAAAAGAGTTCCACATTGACCTTTACTACACTTTGTGTTCCCTAATCTTCTCAATATGTTATGTTTCAAACTGTTTTGCCATTTTTCCTGTTACTTTCAGCCCTCTCTTCTGATCCCCATGCTTCAAAGCCAGTCATTTATGATGCATGATATTAGTCTGCCCACCAGTGTTAAAACAAAACTGAATATGATCAGGACTCACCACTAAAAGGGATTGCTTTAATTGCCCTCCCAATTTTGCTGTCAACCAGTATATGCATAAGCATACTATTGCAACCAAGTTTGAAATATCGTGTTTTCTGCCGGGCTGTTGGGGTCCACTCCGGCTAGCTATAGACCCCTGCCCACACAATATTTCATAGATGAAGGTAAAAGACTGAGAAGCGCTCTTCTCCATGTGGGAAACATTCTCCTTTATTACAAGAGACACACCAGGTGGACAAATCCACGGAAGAAAGAGGGCATTCCCTGGTGGCAGGGAACTTTTACACCCCTGGGAACGGGGACAGAGGAAGAGGTCTACAGCCAATGGGATACCAGTGAGGAGTGGCAAGAGGAGGACCTCTTCACTCAGGAAGAGACCACCAGGGGGCATTGGGGTGGGTGAGGGAAAGACCATGTGCTGGGGGAAAAGGGATAACAAACCATGTGATATAAGCTATATAGTGCAATATAAAACTATTCTGTGCAAATTCCTAATCACCCAGTGTAAAAGAACAACTAAATAAACTAGTGCACCACAACACAAGTTCATCATATCCATGGAAACAAGTGGATATTCCTGAAACTACTGCTGCTGCTGACTATTGCTGCTTCTAAATGCCCTCTATTGCTTTTCTATTAATTTCTAAGTCTACTTTCAGTACTTTCATTTCTATAACCAATGTTTATACATTGCCATCTCCTCATATATTTCTGTCTCTTTAGCCACATAATTTCAGGCCCTCCCCAGTCCTCACCTCTTGTATTTTCTGTCAGTGGCTCATTCAAGGGGTAAGTAACATTAAAGAGGATCACCAACTTATTTAAAAATATTTATATTTACTCTTTCATTTTCTTCAAAATGTTCCATGGTCAGTTGCTTTGTTATTTTTGCTACTATATTTCTATGTATCAAGTTAAGATGACTATTCTATTTTGATTAATCCTTCACAAGTTTTTAAACACTGCTATTATGCATGTTCTCCTCCAGGAAACTGGAACCTTTCTGGTTGCTTATAGATAATTTATAGCTGTTCAAAGATGCCTTGCCACAGACTTTCTGCTGCTCTGCTTTTGAATCCATTCATTTCTTTTCTAAATATTCTAAGTATTACTTCTAGCATTCCAATTTCTTTACATTCTGCGTGTCCACTTATGTCCAGGCAGAACCAACCAGCTTTAGAAGAGCGAAACAAAAAAATCTTTGAATATTTCATTCTTTTGATTTGCAGAATAAAACTACAGAACTTGTACAAGTTGTAAAACCAGTATGATTTATTTCAGCCCTGGATATATGCTCCCCAAGGACATGTGCACCCCTGAAAATTCCTCAGTCTACTTTATCCCCTATCGGTTTCTCTGGGTCTGGATTGAAGGTACTTGAGATGGTAGTTCATGTTCAGACTCAGGTGTTTATTATTTCTTATCAGTAAAACAGTCTCACAACTGTGAGTTCAGCAGCTTTTCATTAGAAGGCACAAAATGGTTAACAATCTCTTGTTACAAAGTCTTTTAAGACTAAACTATCCAATAAGAACTGACACCTAGATTATTTTCCCTTTTAACTCAATAACTGATCCCAAAGAGCCTGCAATGCAGACTTTTCTGCCAAATTACAAAATGCTAACCAAACCCATGAAGACGAAAGAAGTCTGAAGAAACACAGGACAACACCCTGTGCCCTCCATCTTGCTCCCATCCACAACATACTAAAAATACCAAAACCTAAACTTCTCACCAAGTGATGCACCTACACTATACTCTATAATCTATTTCACACTTCTGTGGATTATAGTGTACCATGAAGTCTAGGAAACTTTCTCTATGAATGAGGGTTAAAGTCAGAGCTCCCCTGGGAGTCAAGCCACCCCAGAGCAGACAGAGAAATATTCCCAGTGCCCTGGGTTTCCACAATCCCCTAACCTGTTGCATATGCCTAAAATATATATGTATATGTATTGAACTGTCTTACCATTTTTTATGAGCCTGCGCAGTTATTCAGTCAAGTAACCCAGATTCAGGTTTTGGTCTGTGGGGCCTCTTATCTCTCTTCAACTTGAATGCTTGCATTCCTTTCTAAGTAGCCTTGAATCTCCTTCCTAGTCTCTGCCATCCTTTTTGTAAGCACAGACTAAACAAAACTAAACAAGCAGACTTCAGCTAAAACCAAAATTGGTTTCTACCCCAAGTTAAATTTCCAACCCCCTCTCACTTTTCAATTCTATCTTTTATTTTTGCGTCTTATTTGCTCAGGTGATGGATCTATAAATTGGGTGGGGCTTTTCCTGGTTTTAATTCAACTATATATACAGAACCTTATCTTTTTTTTTCCAGAACAGATCACTGGATAAATCTGAAAGACTGTGTCTAGAGAGGCAAATGCCAATGGCAGTACAAGAAAGCTGGGTAGAGCAATGTCTCCTACCATCACTTTTGACAACCCCACTATCTCAAAAAAGTAATTTTCAAGAAAGACACAGACAAACCAGAGGGGTTCCAAGGGAGGACCACAAAGCTGAGAAGGCTCAGGGACAACCTCAGCACAGTTTCCAGCGCTTAAAGGGCAGCTACAAAGAGGATAAAGGCTCCACTATATATACAGAACCTTATCTTTTTTTTTCCAGAACAGATCACTGGATAAATCTGAAAGACTGTGTCTAGAGAGGCAAATGCCAATGGCAGTACAAGAAAGCTGGGTAGAGCAATGTCTCCTACCATCACTTTTGACAACCCCACTATCTCAAAAAAGTAATTTTCAAGAAAGACACAGACAAACCAGAGGGGTTCCAAGGGAGGACCACAAAGCTGAGAAGGCTCAGGGACAACCTCAGCACAGTTTCCAGCGCTTAAAGGGCAGCTACAAAGAGGATAAAGGCTCCCTATTCACCAGACACCACATGGAGAAGGAAAGAGGCAGTGGGTTCAAGCTGCAAAAGGGGATGTTTGATCTTGATATATGAAGTAAATTCTTTACAGCAAGAACAACCATTGGCAGGAACAATGCCTCCAGGAATGTGGTAGAATCCTCATGACTGGAGGTTTTCAATACATGCTATCTTGATCGAATCTCATCCAGGCTCCCTTTCCCATGAAAGGTTGTACTAGATGATTTTTCGAAGTCTCTTCCAACGTGGGCTGCACTGTGATCCTATAGAAAGCAGTGCCTCTTGCCTGTTAACTTCAGCCCAAAATCTTGTAGGTTAAGAAGGGAGTTTTTTGGGAGGTTGTGGTCAAACCAATCAGTGCTTGGATTTGAGTATTGGCACCTGGTTTGGCCACTGAAGGTATGGACTGCCTCTGAGAACACAGGGGATTAAAATCAGAGAACTCCCAGGAGAACTCTCTCTTGGTTCCTGTCAGTGAAGGAGGTCAGACCTCCCTTGCCCAGCTGGGGCTGGGTGTGGGAGGGGAAGCCATGCAGCTGGGTGAGGTAGGTCGGAGCCTTGGGCAGAGGAGGGGAGTGAAGGCCTTGCAAGATGGAAGGGTGGAAGAGCTCTGAGAAGCATCCCGCCCCGCCCCCTCCACCCCCCAGGAGATAGAGAGAGCCAGTGCCTGTGCTGCCTTGGAATGTGATATCATGCTGGCAGCACAGCCAGCCAGAAGTGCGGGATGCGGCGCGAGAAGGTGCCCGGCAGCCGTGGGAGTTCTGGACAGACAGAGATGAAGATTTTAACCCCTTTCTAGAATAATGGAAACCTTACAAATACTGATCCTCCTGAATCTGAATGAGGAGAGATGAAGCAGGAGGAAATGAGCAAGTGTGACAGAAGTTGGTGCATGTGAGGAATGTCAGAAGAGGTGAGAAGAATCCTAGCTTAGAAGATGATGGAGTGGCCTTGGGCTGGACTCTTTTATTGTATGGCCATGGACAGACCCATGTTTTTCCTGTGACCCAGAAACTGCATTTAGGGGGAGGCAATGCCTTGAAGCCAAAGAGAGTGTGGTGAAGCAGTGGCGTGAACAGAGACAGCTGAGGAGGGTGTGGGATGCCCTCTGTCTTCAGTGAAGAGGAAGATCTCTGTTCACGAGGCCCCTCGACCCCAGGGGGTAAATTTGGGGGCGACTGGTGTCCCGAAGCTGAGAGACTGCTGCTTTTGGAACTGGGTGGGGCATCCTTAAAAGGGGAACAGCAAGAACAACCTGTTGCTGGAACAAAGCCTCCAGGAATGTGGTAGAATCCTCATGACTGGAGGTTTTCAATACATGATATCTAGACAGAATCTCATCCAGGCTCCCTTTCCCATGAAAAGTTGTACCAGATGACTTTTCAAGGTCTCTTCCAACCTGGGCTACTCTGTGGTTCTGTAGAAAGCAGTGCCTCTGAGAGAATCTTGCCTATTGACATCAGTCCAAAATCTGAAATCTGTCTTGGTATTTTGCATTCAGAGAGATGAAAAGCCTTAAGAACACTGATCCATATTCCCCTTTCTTTCTTCTCCCTCTAGTTTTGATTTAGTTTGTGCTGAATTCATGAAAGATCTCCTTTGACATTAGGCTTCTGTCATATCCCTATTTTTGCTAGTGATATTTTCTGTAAAGATGTTGCCTGATTTCAAACATTTTTGAAGAAAAAATAATCTGCATACTAAAAAATTAAAAATAATCTAGAAGAGCTGGAACAGGGCTGTTGAGTTTTTCTACATATGATTAGTTGACATCTTCAGCAAATGAGTGTAGCCAAAGTTCTCACCAGTAAACAAAAGGCCACTACTCATCAGGGTAATTGTAAAGGCTGCTGCAATGACTCTTACAGTAATTCTAAGGTGCTTGGATCATTTGATCTAGTTTTCCAGTGTATAGCATTCAGATGATCTGAGTCTGCCTTGCACAGTTCTTGCTCTCATAACATGTAACCACATTTCATTTCTCTTCAGACTTTGCAGTATAAGTCATACTTCAGCTTTTTCCCGAGTGTCGTTCCTGCTATATGTTCTTCAAATGCTTTGTCCATTTTCTCATTCTGATCTTCACTGAAAAGATTCTTCCAGTCACTTACACCACCTTCAAAGAAGCAAAAAAAATTTCCTAAAAACCAAGACATTTTATTTTTTGTTCTATAGAGCTGCTGTTTTTATTGCATTGCACACTAAATCTTGTTGATCCATTCTACAGATGAAACATTTTTCTACACCAATAGAATTTTGTGAAATCAGTGGAGTTACATATATATGTGAATAATCTTTTACTAAAATGCAAAATAACATACTCCTCTTTAGATGACTGTGTTCAAAAAGGCAGCCTAAAATCCTGTTTCCCTGCATCTCTCATTGTCATGCAGTTATGACTGGCAAAGTGGAAGATCATGAAGAATTTATTAAGAATCATCTGCCGGGAGGCAGAGCTGAGTTTCTGCTCCTTTGGTAGCTTGGATTTTTATCCAGTTACTTCATTAATGTAGAATGCAGAAATAGATTCTGAAAACCAGGCTGCCCTTCTCATGTCCATGTCCCCCAAACTACACTGCAAAGGTTACTCTCTTCTGTTCCCTCTCTTGTGTCTTGCAGGATTCTTGCTTGCTTGGCTTAGTCCTAATGTGTAAGAGTGAGCAGGCATTTGGCAGTGGCCATCTCAGAAGATTTCTATACTCTCATATAAAGGGTGGTCACACCACTCAGGCTGCGTTTGGCCCTGTGCTGCCTGCTCCAAAGGCTGGGCAATTGGGAATCCAGGCACAGTGGTGGAGAGGAATTCAGTCACATGACAGTTCCTCCTTCCTGCCAGCCATCTGAGAGCCTGCAAGAGTGTCTCTGCTGTGAGAGCCTTGCGGGGCATCTTCCTCACCATTTCTCCTTGAATAGTCTTCTCAAGCAAAGCAGCGATAACCTGCTTTGTAATGCTACTGTGAGTGCAGGAAAAAGGACCAAAGGATGGCCCAAGTTCTTGAGAGTGGGACATTTCTACCTCTGAGCCCTGTGGAGCTTCCTACCTTTGCGAAAGAGAACCTTGCCAAGTGACCCATGGGTCTTGTCTGAGTTTTTCTTCATAGACTGGAAGCTGCTCCTCTCTACCACCAGCTGGAGCTCTTCCTCAGTCAGAGCAATTCCAAAGAATGTAGCTATATTTTTCACACTCAGGGCAGGATTCTGGAAAGAGGAATGTAACATATGGCATGACTTTCAAACAAATGATGCTGCTTTCCAAGGTGTTTACACTTCCGTGTATCTCTCTGCTGTCTGCATACATAGGATATTCATAGAGTTCACCAGGACTAGGGTGGGCCATAGTGGTTCTCTTCTCCATAATTACTTTGGTGGAGATATAAGCTGTTTTCCTGTTGATTACAAAATATTATATATGATTTACAGGTGAGCAAAATCTACACTGCTGAAAACATAATAGCATCTCCCCAAAAAATATTACTGGAGATCTTGACATACACTGATTTGGGCTTATATCACTAATAAATAAAAAACAAGAATCATTTTCACAAGCAAAATTTTAAGAAGATTTTAAAGTTTGAATTTCATCTTTTCTTTCCTAAAAACAAGAATTTGTCTCACACACTTTGGATACCATGAATGTATATAATTGTGAATAGGTTCAATAAGAAAATTTCCCTTGAGGTATAAAGTATTTGTAACTATTCTTAACCTTACCTCTTTTACCTCTTCATAAGTTATTGTCATAATATTTTCTTTGTCAGCATATTTGTTCCATTCAGAAAGGTATTCAAGGTAGCATCCCCAGGCCGCTAAATAAAACAAAACAATACTAAGATAAAGCATAAATTAAGGTTATACACGATTTACTCATTAAGTTTTCTCAGACAAGGGCTTTATTACTGATGTCTATGGCAGGGTTTACACCCTTCTGTGGGAATTGCAGGTTTTACTCCAGGCTCAAGCATATGATACCATTGGTAAGTCAGAAAAATAAATCTTGGTAGTATTTCAAGATAGCTTCGAGTTCACCAAAAAAGCTATCGTCTTGCAGACCATCTTATAATTCAGTCTAAAACCTTGTTGAAACCCCCCTTCTGTTGGCAATATGCTACCCAAAACTCATAACTTTAAACTAGTGCTATTACTTTTTCTCTTTTTTAATGCATTAGAATTAGTCCCCTCTTTAATGCACTAGACTTAGGCCAAATAACTCCTTTCATCCAATGTAGCACGGAGGTGATTATATAGCTCCATGGACACAAGACGATGGACATAGGAGAGCATTATGATGGACATTAGAGAGAGGTAAAGGGGACCCAAGATAGAGATAAGGAAAAACTGCTTCGTCCAGGAAAAATACCAGTTTGTGCAAATTTAAAAAGCCTGTACAAGTGCAATTTTGACAAATACTTATTCTCAAACAGTATGACAAGCACGGTAAACTTCAGTTCAGATGTCTAATTCTCTGTCTTTAATCTCTGCTTTTGTACTGTAGAGCAAAAATTCCTAGAGAAGCTGATTTACCAAAGTACAAGGGTTTTTAGACAAAGACAAATCATTAGAGAAGTGACACAGAGAGAAAAATATACTGTACTTTTCTTTGTCATGAAATCTGTGAAGAAATCATCCCAGGTCTCATAGGATGGAACAGTAGTCACGCCATTGGAAAAATGGTAATAAGATGTAGCTACATCTTTTGGATTACGAATCAGTAACAATATCTAGAAAAATAATTAAGTGAACTATTTATGGAGAAAGACATAGCATACTACAGCATTAAAAAATAAATATTAATAATAGATATTGTTGTAATAACTTAATAATTATTAATAATAAATATTCTTAATAATATAACTGCAGTTGAGGGTTTCTCGTACCTTGTGTGCTCCTTGCAGAAGTAGCAATTTCATCCCCAGTTAGGAAGGTGCAGTATTTACCTTTGCTTCGGTACCATGAGAAGATGGTTGCCTATAATTATTATCTTTTACAGATTAACCAAATTATTTATGCAGAATCTAAGTATGTTTTGCTCAATACAAGCATAGTTCATCTTTTAAGTAGCGAAGAAAATTCACCATAATATAAATTCTCCTTGAAATTGGACACATTGAAGCCCTCACATGCAACAATGCAATAAATAAATGCAATGCAATGCAAATTCCTCCCATAGGAAATCATGTCAAAATCCATTTTCACTCAGAGGGATTTGTTCAAGCCCTGCAACTCTCTTGTGGAAACTGTCACAAAGGTGCTCATAAAGGCAAACTGTGGTTAAGTGAGGCGAATGGCAGTACTTAAACAGTCATGTGGAAATGGCCAGGCTAAACACTTAAGTGTAACAGTGATTGTGAAAATTGGTAGAAAAGTACTACTTTGGCTCTTAAAAAAAAAAAATCTGCTGAAGTGATTTCCTTAAAACATTAAAATCAGCACTCACCTTTACGTTGTTTTTGAAGATAGCTTGGGGAAGATTTTCAGGATGGAGATTAGTAACCATAAATCTTGGAGAAAGTAATTTGGTCATTCGCTTGAAGAATTGGAAGGAGGAAAGTGGACAGTTCAGTTAGTACAAGTATTCTTTTCAGTAACCTATGCTAAAATGTGGCCTTGATGAAATTATCAACAGTTATTGGCTGATTGAAATGGTTTTTGGGTTTTTTAGTGAGTGTTGCCCTGGGATATTAGTGGACTGCTCTGAGTAGCTCTAATCTTCAAAAGCCCATGAGCAATTGGAAAAAGTCTATCCATTGTTAGTTCTCTTCAGTGATAGTTCTCTTCAGTTCTGTTATGTAAGCGATCAAATCTAGAGGTAGGGTACACACTAGCTATCTGTGAGAGCATCAAACAATGGAATCGTTCATACATCATACATTCAGTATGTGAAGCAAGTAATGTTGATCATTTCCATACATATTCTGTTCCCACCTCATATTTTTCAGCATCTCCAGCTTCAAGGTAGGGGAATTCTTCTGGTTCTTCAGCATTCACACTGCTTTCACTACCTGGTGTTTTCTTTTGAGATATGGCTATCAGGTCAGTTAAGATTTGGCTTAGCCAGTTTGTGCCTGAAAGAATAAAGAAGTGCTTGTAAAACTTTTAGAATGGACAGAAATGGATTTACCTGGAAAGTCAAAACTTGGTAGTACTACCAGGTGAGTTACAGGGGTGATAAACTTGTACTTTGAAACCTAAAGTAATAAATATTTTCTGCTGTGCTGGACTATCTTCAGAAGAAAGATGGGTCACAGTACTTCAA